CCCCAAAACCCCAAAACCCCAAAACCCCATGATTATAAGTAGAGGTTATAACAGTAATTATTAATAGAGCATTAAATAAAACAGAATATTATTGCCAAGGTCTCAGTTATCTTGATCGTCTTCGTCATCAGCATCATCATCGACTACATTATATGGAGCATAGTTCATCTCAGCCTCTTTCTTCTGAAGTTGATCGATGAATCCTGGAATGAGGTTGGCGTACTTCTCGTTTAGTTTCCCTATCAAGAACTCTAACTTTTGATCCATTGCATGGTAGTTTTATTTCTCAGCCTCTGGGAATGGATAGATTGAGGCTACTCTCACTAAGCCGTCTAAGAAGTCAACATAGGTTAAAGAGTTGTGATCGAAAGAGCCTACATTAGAGATGCTCATCATTATACTCTACCCGTCAAATTTCCTCTTTAGCTCTCCCCCTTTATCATCATGATCCTTGCCCTCTACAAGAATGCCACATTCAATAAGGATGTGAATAAATTCTTCTTTTTGCAGTTCCAAGAATGTCTCTAAGTGAAGCATCCCCTTGGAGGTGAAAATCGCAGCAAGCAGGGAGAAGTGCTCATAGAACACCTTGCAGTTATCTTGAGAGTAAAGTTCGCTCAACATTCTATCTTCCATCATTCTTCTCTTTAATTCAATGTTTCCATCGCTAAAGATCTAATCTAGGATGTTTTTATAGCCGCTCTCAGAGTTAGCATACTCGCTCTCATCTAATTTATAGTAGGCGATTCTGATTATTGCTTCTAAGAATTAAGCATAGTTCAACCCATTCTTTACGTTGAGAGTGTCCTAAATTGGGAGTTATATAACTTCATGAAGACATTCACAAAGTCTCATGAAATCTTGTCTGTTTTAAGCCAATCCCATCACCTTCAAGAAGTGCAGGAATCCTTGTAAAGTCATCATATCATTCTCTCTCTTCCTGAATATTTAGGGATGCAAAGAACTATAAAAGCCAAAGTTGTCGCTCAAATCTAAGTGATAAATTGAGAGAATAGAAAGAGAAGCATTAAAATCTTCGTCACTCTAAGAATATTAAGATAAAAAGACTTACTCTATGGATTGATAAATTCATTGCTTTAAGATAAACTTCTAGCCTGGCAGTATTTTGCTCTTACTTAGCAATTTATTGCTATTGCTCATACTTTTCTCTAGCTTTCTTTTCTTCTAATGCTTTTTGTCTCATTCTAGTCTCATGCTCTATTTTCTTATTTTCTTCTTCCTCTTATTAGTCTAACATTCTTTAAGATTCTGCTGAAATTGGCTCAGGATCTATAAACTATCTGAAGAAAGTCATTGATTTCTCAGGAAGTGGTGTTTTCTTTTCTTCCTCTTCTTTTTCAGCTAAAGTTTATTGCTGTGGTGGATTCTATATCTTAGGCTTAGGTCTGTAAAGGAACTGGCATTTGATTTCTCCATATGGTAGATCAACATCATACTTGTAAATCCATTGGTCATTGTCGTCTTCCTCGATTTCTAATTTCACTTCATACTCCTCAGGGAAGTCAGAAGGCTTGAATTCATCTTCCATCTCTGGGAACATTCTGTAGGACAACTTAGCGAAGAATTCGTAGTTATCTTGCTTGTTGGCCTCTGAGAAAGGACCGAAACGTATTCCATAACTCATCATATTTCTTTTCTTAGTAAATGCTTTTTCGTACCATTCTTTCTCATCTTCAGTAAATGGTTTGCTTCTATCCTTTAAATGAACAAAAACTTGATCTCCATCTTGCAAATACGATTGCTTGCTATTGATTCTCGATCTAATTCAAAGAATAAATGTGTTCAAAGATACCTTGGATTTAAAAAGATTGAAGTATCCTCTTTAGTCATCAATGAGGGAATATATATTCCAGGAGGATAATGTTCCTAGCCAAATAGCATACATGCAGTAGTAGCAATCCAATGTACAAACTAGTTTCCTTTACCACAGTCAATGTTGTAAGTCCTTGATAAAAACTCAGAGGCTCTTACGGTTGCAATAATCTTCATAATTGTTTTTTATGTATTTATTTAAATTAGGCTATATTAAATTTATTAAGCAGCTGTCATTTTAATATTTACGTTAATCGCGATTAAAAATGAGATCAAGCCGTAAACTCTTTAATCAAGATAGCTCAAGTTTTGAAAACTAATCTCATCATTCTAAGTTGACCACTGAGACTTAAGTGAAAGGAAGTACTCAAAGGTCTATTTCTCCAATGGTATTAAAATACTTCTTAAATTGTAATAGATCATTAATAACACAAGCAAGGATTCTATTAATAGCAAAATGTACTCCATACAAGATTACCTTCTAAAGGAAAAGCAAAAAAAGTCAGTATTTTCAATATCAACTACTGTGAAGAGATTTTTTGTGATAGACTTTTCGCTTCAATCTTTTTATTATAAGAATAATTTGAAGTCTACTGAATTTAAAACTGTTTGCTCTTTGAGGGTAATTCACTTTATAAATTATATTTATATAGGATCTAAAAGAGGCTAAGGAATTTGAACACTCAAATTAAAGTGTTATTAAGATTTGGCCTTATGCATTAAAGATACACTCAATAAAATCATCGATAGTTCTGTATTTTGATACTTTAGAGAAAGCTTTGAAATGGAAACAAACCATTGATAAGATAATAGATCTAAATAAAAGGGTTCAAAACTTTAAGAAATTGTAGCGATCAAAATCTTAAGATAAATTTAACTCAAATACTTCTTCACATGTCGAATAATCTTAACATCATCTCTAGACTATTTAATCTGTTTAGACTAATTCCCATTAGAAATAATAGTCAATAATAAATGATGAGGAATTTAGAAGCAAGAGCGCTTTAACACCTTTTAGAGAGGATTTCAATAATGTCAAGCATTAATCTGGTGCAAATGAGCTGTTCTTTCAAACTGATTTCAATAAAAAAGATAGGAGACCTTCTAAATATGTAATTGATTTGGATGACAACCCTGAAGAGTTCTTGAGGAATAAAAGAGAGAATATTTAGATGACTCATAATACCTAGCAAAACAATCATAACAGAAATAGTGATAACCCTTATAATTATTAGAGCAAGCAAATCTAGAGGTACAAGTTTAATCTAAATTTCCAGAATTCACTTGACAGTAGTGATGAGAGAATTAAAGAAAACTTGTTTCCTGACAATGATATGATACAGGCATCTAGCATTCACACGATTTAAGAAATGCCAGCATCATTTGAGAATAGCAAATTAAGTGGGATAAACATTGAAAACATTTAGAAGAATTATGGAGTTGAGGGGTAGATATAAATGAGTGAAATATCATTTAGATAAGATGCATCAGATCTGGTAAGAAATACAAATTTTCTAATATTTTATGTGTATAGAATTACAGTCTATCAAAGAATAAGATAAATGCTTTCTAGCCTAAGAAGAGACCCTAGTTTGAAAGTGAAATTGATGTTGTAAATACCAGAATAAGAAAGAGATAAGACATTTTAAGGAGTGATGTGATCTACCCATCAACAAGCTGCTTTGGTTGTAAAATAGTTTATTGATTTATTAGTTTGCATTCTAAAAGTATTCATTTCTTACGGGGTTTTGGGGTTTTGGGGTTTTGGGGTTTTGGGG